AATAATGACTGTTCTGTTTCCAGCAGGATTTGTCATCCAAATGAATAAAGAAGCTTTTTTTTTTTTTAATAATTATTGTGCATGTCTATTTGAGTCTCTCTTGTTACTGGATGCTCAACAAAATGTTTGATAGGAATGCCTCAGAAATATATCAACCAACATTTACCATTTGTGTTATTGTATTGAAGGCCAGGGTCGTCTAGAACATAATCGAATCTACGAGCTTGTGCAACAGATGCTACTAATTCCAAGACACTCTATACATCTTCACTTTAAGGATGGCGAAGATCGCCAGATACAAACGACCATCCGGGCCTTTGATCACGCCTTTCGATTTCTTTTTCTTCCTTACAATATTGCAGCCTCTTTCCATTTCCCTATGCTTGAATATACATATATACTGGCTAGTGTTACAGCTTACAAGTGCAATATCAGAAGTAGGGTCCTCTCGGCCGCTCTTCTTCCACGTTAAATGTCCCCTTTGTCCTTGCACGCTTTGAGAAGTGCGGTCCAGACTACATCGTCCTTCTTCCATGGCACCTCGTTGATCATCTTCTCTGCATCACTTAGCTCTACATAGAAGATCAACCATACAACCGTAGTGTTCCTTGGCTGGTCTCATATTATACTTCTCTTGCATCAAGTTAAAATAGTGAAAACCAAGGTCAAGCTGTCTCGAATGAGAGCAGGCATTGAGAACACTGCATTCTGGTGAACTGGTGAGTGATAAAGGAAAAGATTGCAGGGCGATAATCCATGGATTCCAGGAGTAAGAGGTGTGTCGAGCAAGTAAAACAAAATTCGCACCTTCTTGGTCCATATGGATTGAAGAGGAGAGATCAATATACACAGTAAAAGAACCAGTCTACCAGATGTTTATGTAGGTAACAATGTGACGAAGAGATGAATTGAATTCAGAGAATTGAGACGGGACAACCTCGTCGTCTCTGGTGTAGCCATGAACCAAGAAATCGGTGCAGTTTCTTCGCCAGCCATGGTTATAAGGGTTGTAGAATCTTCCATGACACGAACAGCTTCGCCATTGTCTTGTGGGAGCTTATCCACAACAAGTTACCTTTTCAAGTCATATGAAATCTCCAAGCCGCTTACGCAGCTGCATTCAAGGTCTAATTCTTGCTTTCAAGTTTCAACCATATGGATTCTTGATTACAAACTTTGAACTGTGATATTTAAATATTTGGTAAATTAATAGATTGTATCCCACTGATCAGTCCTAGCTGAATTAAGCAATAGATTTGAGCAAAAGTAGGAAAGATTAGAGTTTGCCCTTATTAATGCTTTGGAAAAAACTTGACTTGGATTTTGCATTTATACGAAGCTCTAGGAAGCATTAGCAGATCCGCCAAGACTTGCAGCTTTTCGTCATCTGATACCTGAGCATAAACTACCACCCGCTCAACGTATGACAATTTCTCCAAGAAATGCTTCATTTGCTCCAGCTCTTTGATAGTTCCTTTGTACTTGTTTATCTTTAGGACTTCCACAGGACAAGACAATAGGAAAGAATACTCTGAAACACACTGGCAAGCTAATTTATCTTCTCCCCATGAAGAGTGCAAGGGATAGTGCAAGGACTTCTGAAACAAATGGAAAGATTTGGGATTCAATATTTATGAGTACCTATTGGGTTCTCAATGTTTTGTTTGTCCAATGAACATATTGGGGTTTCGGTCATACCTCGATGATGAGAGTCTCTAGATTAGGAGAGTTTTTAATCAGATTTGGTAGAGAATACCAACAGGAGTTAGAAAGGTCAACAGATAAATGAAACAGCTTTTCAAACACCGGCATTGCTTCACCGAAGACAAGAAGTCAAGAAGCATCTGAAACGTAAGAAAAATTAACTACTTTTCTCAACCAGTTGCAACTAATGATGAAAACCTCAAGAAACATTTGAATATCTAGCAAGATTTTGATTCTTATACATCAATGGTAATACAAATAACACATAAAGTTGCAGTAACATATCAAAGAGAAAGAAAACAATAGAGCAAACTTACCTCCATAGTGTTAATAGTTAACTCCAAAATCTCAACATGTTTTAACCCATTAATCAGATTCATTGGATTGAAATCATTTGCATGACTTCTTCCCAATAACCATCTTTGTCCACACAAAGATCGAGCTTAGCTTCAACAAGGGAATTGAGAGTAACAACTAGATACTCCTTAGGAACATAATCAGAGTACTCTAAGTAGGTAAGACCCGGAGTAGCCAAACTAATTCTGTCAAAATCATGGGCAAGACCCCGAGATCCAATGCAATGCCCTCATCATTACCATGCCACTCTTTACGTCGGATAGTAAGTCTTTGGAGGGTCGGACTGGACACAGAGCAAGACCATTTCCAGCATTCCCACTCGATACCATCAATGACTAATTCCTCAAGCACAGGGGACGCAGAGAGAAGCGTTTTGAACGCACAACGACCACCAAAATCATAAAACCGAACAGTATCGAGAAAGAGAGTCTTGAGCGATGGAAGAAACGCATCCGCAGGGAGCATGTCAATAGCAAAACCAGACCCTAGTTCCATTTTAGCAAACCGTCTTGCAAGTAAAAACTTCAAGAGGCAGTGAATATCCTTCTCGTTCGCCAACTTCAAGAGACGGTGAATATCCTTCTTGTTCGCCAACTTTTACCTCGAGTTTAAGAACCAAAACACCACGCTTCAACACATGGCAGAGACAACGGTTGATATGATCATATTTGGGAATGGTTCCACTTTAGAGAGAATTTCCTTATACGAAGACTGACTGGTAAAGCCAACATATACTCCATCCACAAAATCCTCGAAACTCGCTTCATCGCCATCAAAATGAAGTTTTGGAATGATGGTAAACAGATTTCGCCACCTCTTCGAGAGAACCATTACGAAAGCAGCCTCCTTTGCAGAAAGGAAAGACCCAATGTGGCAAATAATCTCATTTGGTAAACTATCCATACTCCTAGAAAAAACCCTTTTGACTATAGATATTAACCACTAACCAGTTTCCAAAGCCGAT